ATAAGAACTGGGCAACAGGCCAGAGGTATGGGGAGCTGAGAGGATTCACAAGAGAGTGGGGAGCAGAACAGGCGGATCTACTGAAATACACTGCTGAGGGGAGCAGTGGGTGAGACAGGAGAGGTCTGCTGCGCCAGGCAGGGTTGCTCCTTGGCACGGGGATCAAACTCATGTAGCAGTGGCTGCCAATTGCTTAATAGCAGTATCTTTAACCCTGCGCCACCGGGGAGGCCCTGGAATATTTGAATTAAAAGTCAAAATAGGGCCTCTCCGGTGGCGCAGCGGTTGAGCGCTGGGTTGCAAAGCTGCCCGCGGCCTCTGCGGCGCCGGTTCGATTCCCGGCTGCTCCCCGGCCACCGGAGGAGGGTCCCACATGGCACGCAGACCTCTCCTGCCGCCCGCTGCTCCCCTCAGCAGTGTACTTAGTCAGTCTGCCTGTTCTGTTCCCCGCTCTGACTCTGGTGAATTCTCTCACCCTCCCGCGCTTCTGACTGTACCCAGTGCATGCATAAATAAATGAATAAATGTTAAAAAAAAAAAAAAAAAAGTCAAAATGTAGGGCCTCCCCAGAGGAGCAGCAGATGAGCGCTGGGTTGCGAAGCTGCCCGCAGTCTCTGCGGCGTCGGTTCGATCCCCGGCTGCTCCCCGGCCACCTGAGGAGGGTCCCACATGGCGCGCAGACCTCTCCTGCCGCCCGCTGCTCCCCTCAGCAGTGTACTTCGGTCCTTCTGCCTGCTCTGCTCCCTGCTCTGGCTCTGGTGAATTCTCTCACCCTCCCGCGCTTCTGACTGTACCCAGTGCTTGTATAAATAAATCTTTAAAAAAATAAAATAAAAGTCAAAATGTAAAATTTAGAAGACTTCCTATTAAAATATCCAGATTTCCAGCTTCTGAAGAGCAGGAAGATTTGGTAACACCAGGGCTGACATACTCAACAGCGACCTCCTCTAAAGTTGACCACCCTTCTTGCCACTCCCTTGTGGCCCAGGCACTGCCACTGAAGGTCCAGCTGCCATTTATCATGCCACTTGAACTGTTGTATCTTACCCCAGGTCTGATTCACTGTTCAATTTCAGTAGCAAGTTGATTTTGTGATCAACCCATTATCTAGTTGTATTAATTAGGGTCCAATCAGGAAAGAGAAGTCATATAGTACTTTGAACAAGGGAAGTTTAATATAAAGAATAACTAGGATAGGAGACTAGAGTAATGAGAAATGAGCTAGTGAGAGAAAGCTAGCGAATACAAGAATAGCAAAAATAAGGAGCAGCAACTACCCTAGGACTGAGATGAGTGCTCAAAGAAGTCCCACGAGGCTGAGATGTAGACAGTACTGGAAAGGAAATGGCTGGGGCTCAATAAATAGCTGTAAGAGGTTTGGAGACCAAATCCAATGCGTCCCTGTGCCCCCCTCGCAAGCTCTCTCCAAACACATCACTTTTCCCAGCACCTCCATGGCTCTCCACACCCGAGGTGGAAGACCAATTCTTAGGTTACCTGGGGCATTCTTCAAAAGTCAGCTCATTCATGTAGCAAAAGACTTTTTTTTGACAGTTTCTTATAGTCAACAAAGATACCTTTACGGCTCTTATCACCTGGGAAATTTCAGGGTTTTAGGTGCTCTGTACCAGAAATGAGGACAATGACCAAATACATACTTCTTATTATTAATCATAGTATGACAGGCAGAAAAGTTTCTGTGGTCCACTGGAGTCTGCACTCAGGGGTGTCAGGTAAAGTTACTCACAGAAAATGTTTCACGAAACAGACTCTCCTACAAAATCGTCCACAGTAGGTTCCAGGGGGAACTCCTGACTGCCAAATGTTAAACAGGAGTGTGGGGCTTGAAAAGTCACCTTCATGGCAGAGGCTGGGCACCAGGAAGCCTATTTGGAAGTGGGAGACGCCCTACATGCTGCAGGAGCTGGAGCTGGGGAGGCCAGGTATACTGTAGAAGCTGGCACTGGGGAGGGTGCCTATGCCATAGGTGTTGGTGCCAGAGAAGTCTGCTGAGCAAGCATGCCAGAAACAAGAAGGAAAGTTCTTCTTAAGATTTTTCTACAGTATCCTCTATTAACAAAGTGTAACATTGTGCCAGCTGGCAAAAAACAAAAAAATTTTAAGGACCCAGATCCATTTTTACAGAGTAGCCATGTAGAGTAAATGGAAGTCGAGAGGCAATAAATTGATAACTGACACACTAACCTACTAGCGTTATATAAAAAGTTACCCTGGCACTGGGGGAGAGCCAAGGACAGTAGAGAGCAAGTGAAATGCGTGCTCTTCAAGCTATCTATTTAGCTAATCAAATACTTTTCTGGTCCTTTAGATTAATGAGGTCTCTCAAAGGAAAAGTTCTGCACAAGAGAAGTGCTACCAATGTTATTCTCCTTACTCTCTATTTTAATACCAATATTTATTATTTACTATGTCAAGCATGTTCTATCATAATCAATTTACGTGTATTAACTCATTTAATCCTCACACTATTTTGAGGTAGATACTTCTATTATCCCCACTTTCAACAAAAGTACAGAAAGCTCAAGCACTTTGTCCACTCACATAGCCAGTAAATGGCAGAGCCACAATCTGAACCTACACAGTCTAGCTATAGAATTTACACCCTTTTTTAAAAAGATTTTTTTATGCATACAAGAGCCAGGGTGCAGGCCAGAGGTGAGGGGGGCTGAGAGGATTCACCAGAGACAGAATGAGGAGTAGAATGGGCAGATCTACCACACTGCTGAGGGGAGCAGCGGGAGAGATAAGAGAGGTCTGCTGCGCCATGTGGGTCACCTCCCTAGCCGTGGATTGAACTCTTGCTGCAGTGGCTGCGGATAGCTTCATAATGATGAAACTTAAACCCTTGCGCCACAAGAGAGGCCCAGAATTTATACTCTAAGGCACTACGCTAAGCTGCTTAGCAGCTTATTTCATTGTTTCATTTTTTTGCTTTTAGTACCTGTCTTCTTCCTCCAGCTTGCCTTTGCCAAATGCATAAAGAACCAATGGAAAGAACATACAACAAGGTAGAGAAGTTAGGGTATAATTTTTTGGTTATTAGAAAACTTGAGAGTTTATAACATTGAGAGTTTGTAACATTGAGAGTTTATAACAGACCTTTTGATGTAATCAGTCCATGCTTAGCCTCCAGACATGTCACTTATACATCTATATAATCAGAGTCAAAATTTCAAACTAATACCTATTTCTATTTCATTTCAATAGACAGTGAATATCAGTATTCAAGGAAAACTGAGATTACTATAATTCCACTATAGCTTTTAAGAAATATCTGCGCTCACCCTTGACATTGTCAACTTCTTAGCTGGAAGTCCAAGCTGAGCTGTAGAAGACCTTAAACTCGTTATCATTCAACAAAGCCTCATATCTAAGTTCTTCAATTAGAGTAGATTTAGACTGTGACATAGAGAAGCTTTTGAATACACCTCAGGTCTTCTGCCTTAAAAGGATGTCAATTCTTGAACAGTTTTATCTAGAATTGACTAACTGTAATTATGTCAAGTATGAAATTAATCTTGGATAGTTCAAAAAGGGAACTGCTTCAGAATCCAATTTGGCAGGTGTTAATTTAAAGGACACCTAAGACATATTCAGTCCTCTCTTATAGATTTCAAGACTGGAGATTATTTACCTCTATAGTTCGAATTCTACTACACTAAGCATGAGAAAAGAAATGCACCATGGAAGAGAAAAATGTTAACTGATGTTAAAGATATTCCTAATTTCGGATAATAAAGAGGTAAAGATATTCCTAATTTCAGATAATGGTGGTGGTGTTAAGATGTTACTAATTTTGAGCCTCCCTGGTGGCGCAGGCGGTTGAGCACCATACTGTGAAGCTGTTCACAGCCTCTGCAGCACGGGTTTGATCCCGGCCGGCTGGCGAGAATCCCACATGGTGCGGCAGACCTCTCCTGTCTTGCCCACTGCTCCCCTTCAGCAGTGTATTTTGTCAGTCTGCCTGTTCTGTTCCCTGCGCTGTCTCTGGTGAATCCTCTCACCCTCCCACACATCTG